GGGAGGGAGGGAGGCAAGGAGAGAAAGAAGAAGAAGCGTTTCCTTTGGCGAACTCGATCCAAGAAAGGGAACACACTAGGATAGAACAAGAAATGGGAGAAGTTGGGAACAAAGGCTACACAGAGAGAGAGAGAGAGAGAGAGAGAGAGAGACAGAGACAGAGAGAGAGAGAGGAAGGCGAATGAGTGGGACTAAGAGTATGAGGAGGAGGAAGAACATAGATTGGAAGAGTGCATAGAGGAGGAAAGGCATGAGGAGAATGAAGAGTGTAATCCATGCAAGATGGTGGTAATCTCTTTTGTCTCCGTCCAATTCAAACAGGGGGGGGGGGGGAGGCAGGAGGGCGGCGGATTGCGGCCAGGGCCTTCGAAGCGGTCGGGCCGGTGTCGAGCACATCGGTCCGGCTGAGGGACCCTCCTGGCCGCGTCACGCAGGAGTTTGCAGGACCTTTGTCGCAGTGGAGCTTTGCTCGCTCCGGCGAGTGCCCCAGCCGCACCTCTCGCGAACCCCTACGACAGGATAGGGGCCATGCGGGCACAACTTTGCCTTTGCCCAAGGGGCTGTCACTACTTTTGGACAGGCGTATCCCCGTCGAGCTACCGAACCACGAGCGAAAGCTCTGCTCGAATGCAATCGCAGAGGTGGCCCAGTCGAGGACATTTTCTCGTACGCTGTAGCATAGGGGGTATGCGAGGTGTTGGAGGGCACGATGTCCCGGCCCTCCGCGGTGTACCAAGCATACTTTGCACATGGATAATTTCTATTCCGCGGTGCACCTGGCACACCCAGACTGTGCCCTGCTGCTGGACCGGTCCAGTTGGCGCTCCCACAACAAAAGGGTGGGAGTGCGCCACTGGACTTTCCATTGGTCCACACAGGCTCGGCGCCCTGCTATGCAGTAGAGCACAACCGGCCTGTACTCGTGGTAGCCGCCGGGCTCGCCCAGGGACGCGAACGTAGATGGACCGGTGCGGTCTTTTCTACTGCGTGCCGAGCTCCTCTAGCCGAGGTATGGGTCGTGGGCAAAGGTTGAGGTCACAATCAAAGCAAAATAAAAGAAGATAAAAGCGAAAGGGAAAATTGAGTGTTGTGTTATTTTTCGTCTGACTGGGGCCGCAGTTTTAGCTCAGATTGATCTGATGGCTTTGGTAGGAGGCTTATCACCCCCATGGAAGGTCATAAGCCCCCTCCTTGCCATCGGACACGGGTACCCACTAGGAGTAGTCCGATGGCCTCCTTAGAAGGGAGGGAGACATCAATCGGTATCTCGTTATGGAACCACAGCGTGCCGAGCTCGCAGTCACTTCAAGCTAAGTCAACGAGACTGGGGATTGATCGTAGAAAGTTTTGCTCGTGTCATGACCGTTGGGGTTCAATCCTGTGTTAGTTTGTTTCTTTTATATAAATTTCTTCTGAATTTTAATAACTAATAACCAAAATTCTAAAGATTACTCCCTCATTTAAAACGGAGGGATCGCGGTGTATAGCGATGTTATAAAAGGGAAGCTATCCTGTTACTTGCTATTGACATGTTGGTGTATGCATAGGGATGCTCTCGTTGCCCGTAAACAAGGGTGGCTGTGCAAGGAGGGTGATTGCTTGGACCGTGACTATCTGAGACTGGCGCAAGTCAGTGCAGAGAGTAAGTACTGAACTTAACTTATTTTGTAAGTGAGACACCAGGCCATAGTTATTCGCGTGTGTATGCGTCAGCGGCTATTGGTGCTAAGCCCCGACCATTCTAGAAAAAGAGGGTGTGGCTATGGTGTATCACAAGGGCCTACGCTGCTATAGATCGGAGGCCTGGAGGTCTCTGGTACGCTGGATCACGGAAATCCAGACATATTGTAGCACTGCACTGGTAGAGCCAGAAAGCCAAGTGGCTTTCACTACCTCATGTGTTGGTGAGGTAGCAAAGGAATGGGTCTTGTCAGAAAGCTCGTATTGCCCTGTGGAGCACAGAAAGGCCGCGAACCGGTCTGGGGCAGCGACGACCAGGGGAAGGAAATCCCCCCAAAGAAAGGCCTCAGGGCCTTCTCGCCCGACAATTGACTTTAGTCAACTGCCTAGCGGCCCAGGAGTCGAAGTCTATATGGACCCGGCCCAGCCCGCTGGTCAGACACACACACTTGTTTGTATGCAGGTACCAAGACAGCATTCAGGCCAAGTGGAAGTCTGCAACTGTATGGGATCAAGGCCGTCAGCTGTGAGTCAATCTGAGCCACCGTGGGTGGGAAACCTGAGGCAGGTCAACCCAGTCCATTGCTACATAAGACCCTGCCTCCAGGGAGTCAACATTCAGTCTTGCTATGCTGCCTTGACGCTGGCTTGACGCTAGCTGGACGCTGGCTTGACCTTGGCTTGTCGCTGGCACTGTGGACGACGACACGAGACTGCTGTTTGCTTGCTGGCGCCTTCCTGTCTTGGCGACAACCTGCTGACATGGCGCAAGGCCACACTGTCAACATTGCTGAGTTGGACGCGACAAGAAGGGAGATCTGGAGCTGTGGATGATTGAGAGAGAACGGGATACTTACCTGCTGTTGATGTCGAATGCTGTGCGTTGCTGAAGTCTTCACGGGGGAACTGTGCCACGTGGCACTTTTGATGTGATATGATCTGTCAGTCTGGTTATTGGACAATGTTACTGATGCGGAGGAGAGAGGGAAGTCCGGAGAAGGAGAGGGTATTGTTGGGCTGCTATCTCTGTGGTCATTGACAGTGTATTACAGATCACATTCACGATTATTTGGAGACATTATTCAGAACTGAGATTTCTCGTATATCATCTGACGAGTATCTTCCAGACTGGGTTCATTACACTTTGTTTTGTTTGTCTTTTGTTAAAGGCGCAAAATGGCACGATGTAGAGAGATAGGCGCGCAAGAGAGAGAGAGAGAGAGAGAGAGAGAGAGAGAGAGAGAGAGAGAGAGAGAGAGAGAGAGAGAGAGAGATTGCATCGGGGAGTTCTCTTCTTATTTGCTTTTACAAGCAAAGCCGCAACAAGTCATCTAGTCTGTTTGGTAGTTGCAGTTCGCCTGACGGAGTTGTCATGGCATGTCGCTATGTGAGCAGTAATGGTGTCAAATCAACTACAGTCGTAATCCACCATGGGAATCAACCACAGTAATCAAACATGGTAATCCACCAATGACAATGTTTCTACAAGCAACAACCAGCTGATTGAGACCATCACGAAGCTTTTCTTGCAGGGCAGCAACTGCACGCTGATCGGTTGATAATCGGGGATGGCATGAACCAGAGGATTCTAGGAAGGCCAATTATCTTGAGGAACTGCAGTCCTTGCCCTCCCACAGCCTGCGTACTTGTGAACAACATTGGAAAACCTTTCCTGTTTCCCTTTGTGAACGACATTGGAACATGTCCCTGTTCCCCTTTTCCTTTTCCTTCAGACATGGCTTTTCTTCGACAAGTCCATTATGCCATTTGCATGTAGAAGGGAAATTATGGTGTCAGAAGATAGGGGTGTGTGAGGGGAGCAGGAGACACCAAGTTCACACAAGTGCGCGAAGAAAGTCCAGGCAGAAGAGTGGCAAGGCTGGACATATCACTACATGGTCAACTGGATGGCAGGCAAGGCATCTCAAGGGCATAAGCAAGCCAGGCATTGGGCCTCACAGGAGGGAAGCTCACAGGTATAAATTAAGCTACGATCGACTGAGTGTCATGGGCGAATAAAGGTGAGTAAACAGAAGAGAGGGGAAGGCGCAAAGAAAGGAACCCTGGCTCAATAACACACTCATGGTCGGGAACGAGTAAGGGAAGAGTGCAGTCAATAGGGAAGGATGCCCACTTACTGATTTCATAGCGCATGCACTGAAGACCCCATGATGCCGATGCCTCATTAATTGCTCTCTGGAAACGAGTAAAACACATGAATGGCTATGTGACAATCAAGGAGGCGATGTGGTATCTCGCATTCTACACCACAGACAAATAGACACCATTCCCATACCAGAATGAATCCATTGCTTATTGAAAGAAGAAAAGCAACCACAACTTGACCGTTTTCAGACCAAAAAACCCTAGTCCAAGAACAGGATCATTCACCAAGTCCCAAGAAAGTCTGTGAACATTTCGGATGCATCAAAGGGTGATTGGCGTCCAGCAAGTCAGGGTACCAGTCCAGAAAGTCCAAGGTTGGGCAACTGAAGCATCACAAACAAAATTCCAGTCGGTCATCGCTTCATTCTAGGAGTTGCGCATAGAGGTGAAGATGCTGAGGTACACGGTTGAGGTGCGTGGAGAGAAGTGGATTCGGGAGATCCGGGCGTTCGCAGCCCACCCTCACGTGTTCAAGTCGTCCAAGGTCCACCTTCAAATTCGTCACCCGCGGCCTTAATGATCAATCCACATGTGCGCAGCTGCCATGGCATGAAGGCAGTGAGCGTGCTCATGCAGGTGAGACATACATGACCTACGGGTTGTCCACATCAGTGCACGGATAGGGGCTTGGACAGAAGAGAATGCAGGGGTAGAGACAGAGGAGAGTCCGAGGGTGTAGCGCCCTTGTGACAAGTGTGCGACGGGTATGGTAAAATTGAAGAGACCAGTACGAAGCGCCATTCGATAGAAGGAACGAACCACTGGAGTGTGTTGAGGAGCTCACGGGGCAAAGAAGGATATGGTGAATGGAAGGGATAAAGCAGCAAGGGGCCAAGTACGAGTGACGGGTTAAGTAAGAAGAAAGCCAGACGGAGAGGAAGAGAGAAGTAGAGGTCGGGAAACAATGTGCATTCTCCCGAGCACTGAAAACCAGCAGTGGACACAAAGGAGCACAGGCCTCGTTCTTGTCGGACTTTCGGGCCGTTCATGGCCTTCCTCTTCGTGAGCCTGTAAACCGCTGTCCATGAAGACAGGTGCTTGATCCAAAGAGCGTTTGGCAGTGATGAAGGCAGGGCACTAATGTGGTACTCGAGCGAGTTATGATGGTGAGCCCTTTTTCGTCCTGGTCCTTAACGACTATACAGGTATTTACTTCCATTCCTTGGGGCTGCGCGCAGAATGAATTGGAAAGGGGAAAGAGGTGAGAGCTGATGTCAAGCTGAGAGTTCTGTACGGGGATTAATGCCAGCACCATGGGAACGTGTGCATGTGAGGGTAACTACTCGGAATCGCTGAATGGAGGGGGGGAGCTCGCTTCGCTGATTGTCTTCCTCATCAGACGCGAGAGTGTCTGCCTCAAGTTTCTTTTTATTTTCTAATCAGCCACTCTAATCATTTAGACGCACGAATGGGTTGCAACACTCAGAATGTGCTTAAAGCTATTGTAGTGGAAACAAAAAAAAAGCCACCAAATACAATTGTATCATGGTTGACTTGGACTGATGTAAGGCTGATTCACATTTACATCAACAACAATATTCTGAACAGTGTACATTGGCACGCTCTTCACCCCTTCCAAGCGAAGCCTCAAGCGAGGTCCAGTTTCGCTTCTTTCAGATCTGCTTGGGATCAGTGAACTGATTGGATGAGTACTGTTGTAGTTTCTTCCCTCTCCGTTGTGGACTCACAGCTTACATTTTCATGAGCATCGAGTGCTGACTGAGATGGAACTAATTGTTATCCTTCAGGGTTTGGTCTGAGAGTTCTTCCCTCTCCTGTGCATGTGGTCCAAAAGTTCTTTCAGTTCAATTTCAAATCTGGTCAGAAGGGCAGGTTCGGACTTTTCATTTTACACTAGGCTCAAAACCGCACTTGGGCGCAGCTTTTTTTTTGGGTTCGTCTAAAATTTCAGTTGCACTGATCGATTTGCAATCAATTTGAAACATCATCCACCGAAGACTCTCTGGAACTCTTCAAAGCTTAACGTAACAGCGTCAAAAACTGCCTTCAGAAGATCATTATGACTTGGCCAGAGAGCTTTCTAAGTCTGCGTGTGTGTGTGCTTGCTGATGTGTGTGCCTGTTTGAGTGCCCGTCTGCCTTAGTGTGTGTGTGGCCCGCCAGGGCACTTGTTTGTTTGGCAGACCCGCAGGGCCAGTACTTACCTGTGGCCGTGACTTTGAGGGTTGCAGCGGGGAAAAACACTCAAGTGGCCGAAGGGGTAGCTTAGGGCACACTGAAGTAGTGGTAGGTAGGTACCAGTAGGCCGAGCAGAAAAAGACAAAAAGTTAGTACCTTTAGGGATAGAGCTTTAGTAGTGTTGAGGGCCTGCAGAGATAGATATCAGGTCTGCAATGATGTTTCCCTCCGAAACGGAGGAGGTACCGGTTGCTTGGGAGGCCGAGCGGCCTGGAAGTCACCGCCCAAGGAGCAAGTTGCCTGCTATATCTCTCGGCAGAGCGAGTTGCTCTGCCTCAGTTGCTGTGTGCAAGTTTGGGCATCACACTGATGGAGCATTCTGTAGAAGAGCACTGTGTGGAGCGCTGGGGAGAAGGAGCGCCCAGTCTTCCACCTTCAGCCACGGTGGAAGGGCCTTGGTAGGAGGATAAGGAAGAAGGGGAGTGGGAAGGAGGGCGGCCAGGGGTACTTACCTGGCTATTGTGGATGCCATCTTCATCTCCTTGGTAGGCGCTGCATCTGGAAGGCCCCACGTAGGGTGGCAACAAGGCTTCAAGTCTGAGTCAGGCATGGCGGCCTGAGGTGTAGAGGACATAGCTGCTTTTGCGTTGTCTTTTGAACATCGGGGCAGGGACCCTAGTAGTCCGCCATAGCCAGTACTTGTCGGAGCTGGAGGAAGATGGAGGTCATGGCTATGGTGGACCTCAGATTGTGATGACAGTAGGAGAGGGATTCGGACATAGGTTGTGGTTTCAGCCATTCACTGTTATTATTATTATTTATTGGTCAATGAGAGAGGAGGGGGAGATTAATTGGCGAGTGAAGGGTGATTTGTCGTTACTCTATTGCTGGTGTACATCTTCTTCTTCTTCGTTCTTTTCTTCTTCTCCTTCTTCCTTTGTCTCCCTCTCCTCTCAAGTTCATTCATTTCTTTGCAATTGAACGGCATTATATTTCCTTGTGTATTTGCACCTGGGAACTGGTCAGGATCATAACATTGGTACAGAACTGCTTTTAGTATGCTTATGTAATGAGCTGCAAAAATACAGACTGAGAACCCTGCTGATTTCTGAGTTTTGCTGCTGGAATATGTGCCTTGCTGAGATTTCTGCTTTCTGTTGAGATTTCTAAGCCTCTGTGTGTGCGTGCTTGCTGGTTTCCGAGCGCTTCTCTCAGTTCTCTGAGTGCATGCCTGCCTGCATGTGTGTGTGACCCGCCCACAAGGGGTTACTTGTATGTTTGGGAGGCCCTCAGGGATGGTACTTACCTGTGGCCATGACTTTGAGGGTTGCAGCGGGGAAACACTCGAGAAGCGTAGGCTGGCACTCGAGTAGCGGTAGCGTAGGCCCGTGTAGCTTAGGGTAGTACTTGAGTAGCAGTAGGCCGGCAGCGGACGTGTGAATTTTAGGAGCCCGGTAGGCCTAGGCCTAGGGTACCAGTCCAGAAGTCTGAGTCTAGGGCCTGCAACGGACATATCAGACTCGCAATGATGTTTCCCTCCAAAAGGAGGATGGTACCAGTGAAACAGTTTTCACCTTTGGCAGTAGCCGATGCAGATCCCAGGGGTCGATCCTTTGACCTCAGCTTACCTGTGTACAGTATCTGCACAGTTCCCAGGAGTTGAACCCGTGACCTGCACGATAGCCAGTGGTAAGTAGGTCGCCGTAGGTTGTAGGCTGTAGGGAGATTCGAACTGTAGACCTGTAAGGTAGGAGTCCAAGTAGAGTCCAGAGGCCYAGCTTTAGTCCTTCTAGAAGGTCGGCAAGTGGTCAAGTGGTGAGTCTAAGGTAGGCCCACGTTTTCAGACGAAGACAAGTGGCAAGGTCAACAGGTAGGACCTCAGTGCAACTGCACTGTTACATGCTGAGAGCCTCCACACGGGCCCCTCACGGGACCCGAGGTTGGATAAGGGCCCCCAGGTCGCGTCACCGCAACCTGGAGGCCCTACGGCCATTTTACTTAGGCCTCCATCGGAAAGACTTCAACCTTAAGTTGATTTCTTATTTATTTATTTACTGATGTATTTTTACTAATGTGCTGTTGTCCGTTTTGTGGCCAGGTACACAGTTAGGACCAGGGCCGGAATCAGGCCCAGAGGCTGAGCCTCTAATTCAGTTTGGACCGTTACTCGTTTTCAGGAAAACGTTTGGACCTTTACTCGTTTTGGCCAGGCGTTTGGACCTTTACTCGTTTTTGGCCAGAC